TCTGAAAATGAGCTGGTAAAAGCGCGAAACGTCCTGACTTTTAGTATTTTTAATGTTTTAGCCTTTATCTATTCATGTTTTAATTCGATCCTTATTTACTGCCTACATAGGTACACAATTATTCATTTTAAAAGTAGCAGAAGAACCAAAACTTGTAATTCAAGTAACATTATTTATACTGTCTGCCTAGGCATTAGACAAAATGCCTGCTTTGATTGTATGTCAGGGACAGACACACGACGAACTGTTGTCACCAGTCGAAATCGCCCTCAGTTTCTTGGGATACTTCACCGCCCACACCGGAGTAAAAATACCTTGGAGTCAATATTTATATAAAAAATCATTGTGTGTCTTAATGTAAACTCCCAGGATCTTTCAATTGCTTATCGAACATTGATGAAGCATTGTCTCGAATTTTCTCAGAGAAAAAATCTCGATGGAAACTATTGGATTGGATGCAAATGCTCCGTATCTTGGCTTGAATAAAATGTTTAAATATTTCGTACTAAAAAGAAATAAATTTAATGAAAACTGAACTGAAGTTCGGGTAGTGCTACAACATTTTTTTTCGGGATACTACCCCAATTAATTGAAAATATCCATGTCCTCCAACAATCTCGTGCTCTTTTTTTCCGTGGTAATTTAGATTAAATCACTGATGAAGCTGGGAAAAAAAAATTCACCTGTTCTGTACTAAAAGCGAGACCTGTGTGAAAGTTGTGAACGTGTAAAAATATACATAGTTTCAGAAAAAGCAGCCGTATGGCGTATTTTACTTTCAGAGACCCAGGGATCAGCCAAGAAAGCTGGCAGAAAAAATAACTTTCTATAAAGAAGCACTGGCAATGCCTAAAAATAGCTTCAAATGAAAATTAGAAAGACTCTTACTATCCGCTCGCAGCTTTTTTGGGGGCACCGGAGTGTCCCACCCGTCCGTTCAGAACACTAATCCAAGATAGCTCAACCGTTCGATGGGTCAAATGGGACGAAAAATGCTAAGAAAGGCGAAAAAAGATGCGCTGCTAACTGGATTCCGAAACAGGCGTCTGAGTTTTCGATATGTAAATACCGAGCGTAAGTGCCGGAGCCCTTCTAATAGTCTAATCTAATCACTGCAGTATGCCCTTCTGAGCGCCTCGAGATAGCCGTGGCAACTGTGTTTTTAGTGTTAACTTGACCCTTTTTATGGGTTGCGCGACGCAGATAGGGTTAAAAGAGGCAAAATTACGTGACATAGCTCAAGATTCAGATTCCGCAGCTCGGGCCGAAAATTTACTTAGCTTATCTGAGAGCCTTTATTCCTCGCCCCTTCTATGCTCCGCTTTCTAGAATCCCACCCCCACCCCCTTCGCCATCCTCCTCCGTCTTTATCTCGTCCCTTGCACTAGGGGGTGCTCCATTGCAACATGATTTCTCCCCGAGATTTAGATTTTTATAGTCTTGGACTTTCTTAACCTTCCGGATCTCGCGCGAACCCATCTCTGCCGCAAAAAAAGTTGAATTACTCAAAAAAAAACGTCCGCGACAGTGACTTAGTATCTTCATCTTTTTTATAATTACGCAGTGCAGCTGTTTCCGGAGTGATAAGATTTTTGTATAGGGAAAACAAATGCTTCCTCTTAATGGTGCCCCTTACTTACGTAACGCACCTTTTCGGCATTTTTGAGCCCCTACCCCTCTCGCCTGTAACGCTTTTGTGACGGAGGGCCCTATCCTTTAACACGTACAACCAAAATGGCGTAACGAACCCCCCCCCCTCCTTCGCCCTCTAGAGCGTTACGTACTTTAGGGACGATTCCTTTAGTGCGCTACGTGAACGAGCGATTTGAGCTGAATTAGACTATTTAATGTAATGCTATTTTTACAGTTGGTATTTGATGCTATCAGTTTTTCATTGGCTAAATTGATTTCTAACTTAATTTCGACATTGTGGCATATACCTTTCCTTTTTTCATGAAAAATTTTACTACAGTAATATTCACATGACTGTTTGATGAACTCTAATTATCTCTGACTTTATTGATATATTGAAGTAGCTTTATCCGGACGCTTTATTTTTCTGATTGAACCATTACAAATCAAATCACTTAAGATTTCCAATTTTCTGAATCCTTTATTCTCGATACTCCTCGAGTACGACGGGAGAAAGGCTTTTGATCTTTTTCGACGAGTAGACACGCGTAGTATGTCGATATTCAAAGGAAAAAACCGCACATTTCAATTGCAGTTCCGCTCACATTTCATTTTAATGAGCAAAACCAAACACTCGTACAATTTATAATACTTCTCTTTGACCGTATTTAAAGCACTCTTTATAAAAATTACTGAAAAATAATAATTTTCCATTTGAAAACATAGAGTATGGCCAGAGGTCCTGAAATGACACATTCGATGTAAAGTATTTTCTAGATGCATCATCAATAAAGCCACTTGGAATTCACTTTGAATCTTGAGCTACCGTCCCAGCACATTTTCCTATAGTAAGAATGTAATGTAATTGTTCGTTTTTCGTGCACTGGTAAAAATTGATGAGTGAAATTCGGTGCCAGAGTCTCTCTAACGCTCAAAAACCCCGAGTGTCATGAATGTGAAGTGAAATTACACCGAGAAAAAGTGAAGTTGATTTAACATTCTGGATGTGAAAAAAGTGTGCGAGACAGGGCCGGATTTACTTACTTGCCGCCCATGGGCCGCCTGTATTTTGCCGCCCCCTTCTCATTCGTTTTGAAACATCAATAAAAACCATCAAGTGAATGTGCCGGAGGGAAAGAGGCGTATAAGACACGTTTACTCGTGTTGGTCACATTTCTTGTGAAAGCCTTGTCAACACTACTGGCAAAAGTTCACGGAACTTGGCGCGAAAGTTAATTTCCGTAAACCCATCTCTGTAAGGACAAGGCCCTCCATTCATAAGAAATGAACCAACAAATTATGAAAGAACAAACATAAATGTGGTTTAATAATTTTAACTTCCGCCGCCGCGCCGCGCTGACCGCACTGTATTTGGCGCAATGCGTGAAGTATTCCTACAGTCTTACATGCGCTATGCGTTTCGGGCCGACCGCTGCTGCACGCACTGTGTTTGACGCAATGCGTGAAGTATTCATGCAGTCTTGTAGGCGCTATGCGTTTCACGCTGCCCGCTGCCGACCCATCTAGCATCAGCAGAGATAAACCCATCTCTGTAAGGATAAGGCCCTCCATTAATAAGAAATCAACCTAAAAACTACGAAAGAACAAACATAAATGTGGTTTAATAATTTTAACTTCCGCCGCCGCGCCGCGCTGACCGCACTGTATTTGACGCAATGCGTGAAGTATTCATGCAGTCTTGTAGGCGCTATGCGTTTCACGCTGCCCGCTGCTGACCGCAGCGACCGCACTGTCTTTGGCGAAATGCGTGAAGTATTCACGCAGACTTGTAGGCTAATATGTGTTACATGCCGACCGCCGCGCCGAGGGTTTTTCCTTTTCATCTCACGTTCTCGTCATCATTGCTCTCTGCGCCGCGCCGTTCCAGGCCAAATTCTCGGTTTCTCTCTTAGTCTTAACTCGACTAATTAAACGTGCTGTCTATTGTATCACAGAGGGACGACAAAATTAGAGATATACTCTCAGGAAATGAGTGATTTTGTCACCTTTTCTGTTCGTAATTTTTTTGTTTGAATCCGATTTTTCTTTATGGCTACATTTAAGAAAAGTTGCAAAATTTGCCGCCCCCTAAATTTGTCGCCATGGGCCGCGGCCCATGTGGCCACCCCCTTAATCCGGCCCTGGTGCGAGAACTTACAAAATGCTGAATTTCCCGCTATATCAGTTACTTTTGCAATGCCAAGATGTAAAACTAGCTGCTGCGGCGGGGAATTCATCTTTTCATAAGTTCTCACACACTTTTTTACATCCAAAATGTTAAATTAACTTCACTTTTTATTCGATGTAGCACATATAAGCGTATGGCACTTCGCAAAAAGAGTGGAATTCGCTCCATAATAGTGTAAGTCACTCCGTTAGAGGTATAGATTTCGCTCTGCATTCATATCACCCGGGGTTTATGACGCTAAATAGGCTTCGCCAAAAAATTTCATTCTAAAATTTTTAAAAGTGTATCAGGTGGCATTAGTTTCAAAACGTCTTCATATTTTTCACTAAGAAGTCTATTTACGGTAATGGAATGACACAATATGTATCCAAGATGATATTGTATCTTTTCTCGGAACTCCTGTTTCTCGAACAAGTAATCAATTGAGAAGCATTTCTGCGAAAAGGTCCCATAAAACGTGGATGAGTTCGTTCCTCGAAGCTCGCCTGCTCTGAAAGTAAGTTGCTATGATCTCGGATTTGCTATCGTGCCGGTTGTGTCGGTACCAACAGTTCAGAGGAAGTATCGCATTCCGAATATTTTGAGCCAATTTTCCGGAAAACTCCTCAATTATTTTCAGTTTCCATGCATTGAAAAAGAAACAAAAAATATCTGGTTCCTTGCCTCTCGTCTTTTTATATGTCACTCTTACACAACTGGCAGGTGGGCTTAACCCCCCCCCCCTTGAATTGAAAACAATATCATCCAAACCTCCAAGTAAATCCACACGTCAGAGACTAACCTAAGAACAAGTAAATTCTCAGTCAAAAAGGTTCGAGACTTTCTTAGGATAGTCGGTAGAGTTGAACGTTAAGTTTACTGACAATCAGATTTTGTATTGGAATAGCCTTAAAATCACATTTTAGAGAAGTCAATTTTTCTAGATTTCCAGGAAATCCTCCCCCTCCTCCCCCGAAACCTTCCTAAGGACTGGAAAACCTCGTAACTCTCTTTGAAAGACTGAGGCCAGACTCCTAGAAAACTCCTAGAAAATTGCGATACATCCTCATGAAGTGCATGCCCATGTGAAGATATTGATCTAACGGATTAATTTTGGTGAATTGTTTTCTGCTTACTTTTTCTCATGGAGGAATTTATTTGCATACATCAGTAATTTTTGTACGTACTTTTGTCATTGCAGGTGGCAGAACTTCAGCAAGAAGGGCGAGAATGTATAATGGTAACTAGTGGGGCCGTCGCTTTTGGTAAACAGAAACTCACCCAAGAGCTGCTCATGTCATTGAGTATGAGGGAAACCCTCTCAACGACGGACACAACGAGACAAGTAAGTAAATCTGCTATTGAATCTCAGAAGTCTTCGCACGCATGTATAGATTTTCCCTCCTGTGCTCCTTTTAATTGTGGTTTTAGACCACTGTTCAGAGATAAGTGATATAATTTCTGTTGAACAATTTCTCTAGTATGTACTGAAGATCATTATACAAGGATATTTACAGAGTTATACTCTGTATTGGTTGCATGTGTAAACCGTACTTGTGTAATTGTTTTTTCTTTGGAGAGAAAGTTGTCATAATGGTAGGCAGCGGCGCGGCGCGCAGTGAATCATGCGCATTGTGCACATTTCGGTGCGAGCAAGAAAACCAGAGCGCCTTCAATTATTCTCATGCAACACGCGCATCCATTAAGCGCGAATAGTTGCATCCCAGCACTGTGATGGACTTTGCCTCCTTTCGCTCTGCAAAACTAAGGGAAAACGGAGAGCAATTTGATTATGAAGATGAAATGACCAAACCGCGTATTTTGATTTGCGACGTTACAAATTTTCTGTCACATTTTACTATCCAGAGAAGGCCTAATTATTGTTCTTGCTCGACAAATCGTTAGTTTTTCCTCGTTGTTTTACGGTATTTTCCAAAAATTTTGCTCTTTAAACGTCGAGGCATATTTTCATGAAAAAATGAAAAACGGATAGAAATTTTCAAATCGAGAAATTTATCGTATAAGAAGTCCATGTCGTATTTTTGTCACTGCTGTGGTTATTAATGTGGAACAAGTGCCTTCGCTGCCACAAGAGATTTCAAAAGCTCATTTACAAAAAAAGATATAAAAAAAATAAACCTTTCCAAACTGTATAATCATTCAAAACCGGAAGAAATGAAGCTCATGTCCCGCATTTTCAAGAGAGAGAGGGAGACAGAGGAGGAGGAGAGAGAGAGAGAATGAAAAACTTATTTAGCTGTTTTATACATGCCCTTTTACTGCCTTTGCCACTAAGTTTCCGTTAATCCCTCATCATCCGACGAAACTGTCAGGACTTGAGAACGTAAATGTTCTTCTTTGGAAATTTGATCAGTCGTGAGTAGTACTTTACCCTACCACTAACTCTCTAACGTCTAATTGACGTTTTTAAACTCGTCTTCTCTCCTCCGAGGACTTACAACACGCCTCCTTGGCGCATCGGAGTTGGTAATACAATAACTGCATGCATGTGTACGTAAAGGCGCCGAACTCAGAGTGTTGAGCATGTGAAACCTCTTTCATTCATAAAACAGGAGAAAATAAGCTGAGCTGTC